AAAGAAGAGAGCACTGGCCGGCAGGAGCAGCCTCACATGCACACTCTCACCACACGCTTTTTATTTTTTTGAGACAGGATCTGTCTCTGTCATACAGGCTGGGGCGCAGTGGCATGATCATGACTCAACACAGCCTCGACCTCCTGGGCTCAAGTGGTCCTCCCACCTCAGCCTCCCGAGTAGCTCGGACCACAGGCACGTGCCACCACAACTGGCTGTTTGTATTTTTGGAGAGACAGGGTTCTGCCATGTTGGCCAGGCTGGTCCAGAACTCCTGGGCTCAAACGATCCTCGAGTGCTGGGACTCTGAGCAGGAGCCCCGCACCCAGCCTCTCGCTACATTCTCAACCACAGCTGCAAGACGGTGACATTACTGTGCCCACTTCACAGAGAGAGACTGAGTCTCTGACAGCACAACTTACCCGGGGTACACATGACAGCCCAACTCTGCTGGGCTTGGATCCAAGTCTGTAACTCCTTTGCCTCCCCACACCAGGTTATAACAGGCAGGAGACTCCTCAGAGGCTGCCTCCAGCAGGAATGGCAGCGTCCCACTTCCCTCAGCAACAGACTCGGGCCACCCAGTCTCACCCAGCAGCTGGGAGCTCTGGGAGCCCTGCCACCAGCAGCTGCCTGAACAAAGGAGGCCCCAGCCCCACCAGGCACCACCCAAGCCCTAGAGGCTAGAGCCTAGCTGAACCCGCCTGGGGCCATGGTGAGTCGGGGCCCACTGGCTGCCCACACCACGCCCTGAGCCAGGCCCCTGTAGGCGCAAGCAATTAGGAACAAATTCGCCCTCCAGTCACAGGATGAGCTGTCAGCTGCAGGCACTCTGGAAAGACACCAGGCAGGACTCTGCACAGGGCCACAGACTACAGCCACCCACAAAAATGGCGACAGCGGCCACCACTTGAAATGGTGTGGAGGATACTATCGGTCATGGGGAACCTAACCCAAATCCCCTCCTTTGGCTGTTTACATCCAGAAACTATCAGCAGTTAGTCAATGCCTGCATACCAGCTGCCTCCATATGCCCAACACTATACTTTGCACTGCAGAGGGAACTGGCCAGGGATGGACACAGCTGGGCCCAGCATCTAATTACATGCTGGCATCAGACGGTGACTTCATGTCACTCCCGCACATACATGCCACACCGGGAGATTTAAGACTCAGTTCCGGCCAGGCGCAGTGGCTCATGACTGTAATCCCAGCACTTTGGGAGACCAAGGCAGATGGATCACAAGGTCAGGAGATCGAGACCATCTTGGCTAACACGGTGAAACCCCATCTCTACTAAAAATACAAAAAACTAGCCAGGTATGGTGGCACACACCTGTAGTCCCAGCTACTCCGGAGGCTAAGGTAAGGGAATGGCTTGAACCTGGGAGGCTGAGGTTGCAGTGAGCTGAGATCTTACCACTGCACTCCAGCTTGGGCGACAGAGAGAGACTCCATCTCAAAAAAAAAAAAAAAAAGACTGTGTTCCTGTCCCAGATACACATGATGAGCAAGGTGTACTGGCTGTGACTGATTTAGCCGCAGAATATTCCAGAAGGCTTGGGAGCCTTCTAGGGAAAATGAAATATACATGGAGTCTTGAAGGTGCTAGAGGTGACCTCTGAGGATGGGACTGTGTCTCCTGGGAATGTGTGGGCACTTAGCAGTTCCCGACTCAGACAGATCACAACATGGCTGAAAGAGAAACGCAGACCCCAGGCCCTGACAGCCATCCTCCCAATGGGCCTCCTTGTCAACACAGGTGCTGGCTATGAGGTGAGCAAAGATGCTGAGCCTGTGGGCTCAGGTGCGGACTGCGGAAAACACCATCTCCCCTCTGGTCGCAGAGGAGGCTTCGATGGGAAATCACTCTGACCCTTCCCAGGGTGAAACAGCAAAGCTGGGGCTTCAATGGCACCTTGTCTCCCGATGTCCAGCCTTGCAGATAAGGAGCCAGGCAGAGGCAGGGAAGGAAAAAGGATTCCAGACTTCATCTCTCAGACAGAACTGAAGCTACCCTTCAGACGGCCCGGACACCCCTGTCCTCCTCCTGGAGCAGGGCCCCTTTGCTCACCGGGCATCCTGGTGCTGTGCCAGCAGCCATCGAGGGGGGAGAGGTAGCTGAGCCAGCTCACCCTCGCCCACACCTCGGCCCCACCCTCCCTCCTGCCCTCCCTCCCCAGTGAGTCACTGCAGCTGGCTGCAACAGCTCCAGACCTGCAGAGGGTCGTGCCTAAAACCCCAAGGACAAAGTGTCTCCTGGGCCAGACCCCCAGGTGCCAGAGGAAGCAGGACTCCTCTGCAGACAGGCAGGTGGCTTCCCTGCCAGGGCCTCAGGCAGGAGTCCCTTTTGAGGCCAGGAGAGACTTGCCTCAACCCAGGTGGCTCCTGCGGAGGGGAGAACCCATCCAGGGTAGCGACCAATCCATACCCAGCGAGGACTGGAGGCATAGGACGCGAGGCTACAGGTTGGCCATGGCAGAGCGCTTGATGGCTTCCCGGCCGGGTGGGGCTGCCAACCACCCTGCCTGCTCTGGCTCTGGCCCTGCCGTCCCAGCACAGCCTGGAGGGACTCCCCTCTCATCTGACCTGGGCCACTGAGTTTCGAGGAGGGGCGTGGAGGTCCTGAAGGGGATACGGAAGTAGGGGCGTGGGATACTGTGTAGCCAGGGTTTCCTGTTCTCTGCATTTGGGTCCCAGCCCTTAGTCTCTCCTCCACCGCTGGAGCCTGTACCAAGCCAGGTGGCCCTTCCTTCTCCTCCCACGCGAGTCAGGTTCAGCCAAGCTTTCCACAAAGGCTGAGAGCTCTGCTCTGCTGCTACCCAAAGGAGGGTCTTTGGAGCTTTGGGGAATTCTGCACGATTCAGCCAATTGCCATAGCCACCTTCGGAGCTAGAAGAGACCTAGAGTCATGCCATCCAACGCCACAAGTGGCTATTTAAATTTCAATCAATTAAAATTCTGTTACATTAAAATTTTAGCTCATTAACTGCACTAGCCACATTTCAAGAGCTCAACAACCACAGGTGGCTACTGGTTACTATATTAGCATGGACACAGGGCACTTCCCCCACTGCCGAGAGTTTTATGGGATAGCGATGCCTGTTACTTAACGATGGAGAGAGTAAAGCCCAGAGAGGAGAGAGAATGGGCGTGTGCTGGGGCCCTAGTCCCCAAGCCTGCTAGCCCACAGCAAGGTGATCCCCACAGTCCTCCTCGTGATAGAAGGAGCGGGGCAGGGCTGGTCGAGGTGGCTCATACCTATAATCCCAGCCCTCTGGGAGGCCGAGGCATGCTGATTGCTTGAGCCCAGGAGTTTGAAACCAGCCTGAACAACTTGGCAAGAACCTATCTCTATAAAAAAATTAAGGCCGGGCGCGGTGGCTCAAGCCTGTAATCCCAGCACTTTGGGAGGCCGAGGCGGGTAGATCACAAGGTCAAGAGATCGAGACCATCCTGGTCAACATGGTGAAACCCCGTCTCTACTAAAGCTACAAAAAATTAGCTGGGCATGGTGG